TCATCTTTTGATATGAGAAATACTGATGCTAATTCTTCAATTAGGTTCATTTGTGGAGACCCTGCCGTTCAATCTAATATAGTAGGAACTGTTAATATTTCTATCGGATGGACTTTTAACACTGCTACTGCCGATGTTATGGGTAATGTATTTGCTGGTGATGTTTATGTTAAAACTGGTGAAGCGATAAGAAGCAATCATATAGCTCCTAATGGTGGCACATTAGTAACCGTTGATATTAACTTAGCAGTTCAAAATGCTTATTTAGCAACTAATGCCATTCAATCATTTGATTTAACAACGGTTTCATTTTTAGATAATATTTCAATGACAACTGGAACAGATATATTAATGGGAACGAGTGAAATATCAACCTATTCTGATGGGACTAATTTATCTACAATTTATGCTAAATTTAATACAACCAATACAGCATTCAGAGTAATTGATAATACAACTGTATTTTTAACATTATTATCTATTGATAAGACTTATGGAACAACTGTAAATACTGGAAGTTTTACAAATAATGCATCATCAACATTTAATGAAAATGTAACGGTTGTTAATACAAAAACATTTTTTGTCAATGATATTCAAGATGCTTCAGGCGATGCTATTGATATTACTGCGGGAACTGTAACCATAAATGGAAGTCTAATAGATAATTCAGATGCAAGATTAAAACATGATGTAGATTTAAGTTCAAGAGAAAAGATAGAGACGATAAAGATGCAATCCATATAGGTTATATTGCTGATGATTTCTTAAAAGCAGTTCCAAAAGAAATTAGCAATGTAGTTCATACTGGTCGTGAATATTTAGGTATTGAATATACAAAAGTTCCCGTACCAGTAGAGCTGGCGAAGCCGGTGGGCGGAAGTTTCAAACATATAAACACTATAGTTCTCTTTCTCTTTCTTTTCTTTCTTTTCTTTTCTTTGTTTCTTTCTGTCTTTCTTTCTTTCAAGGCCTCCTACAGCCGTAAACTCCTAAACCTGCAATCCTCTTTCCGCTCCGCACAAGAACCAAAGGGTCCCTTTGCTATGGCTTCCATTTCCTTTTCCCGGAAAGTGATCACATCCCTCGCTACCGGCTTACTCCTTTTTTTTCTGCGCGCTTCGCGCAGCACTCCACATCCGCGGCCTGAACCAGCACGCGAGAATAGCTAATCTTAATCAGGCGTTAAAGCTCGGGGATGCCAGAGCTTCCTTGACTCTTTTGCACTTTGACAGCGGCGTCATACCCATGATGTCAGTGGCTAAGCGTTTATTCTCCACCAAGCCAGCGCCGGGAATCTCCAGCTGCCACAGCCGCCTTTTCGCGAAAGCCTGCGCATCCGCTTGTGAAGAGGGGAAGTGAAACAAGACCTGCCAGTGCAGAATGCAAGCGCTGCCGTCATCGTCAAAGTGCAGGTGGGGCCTTGCAATCACGCGCAGAAGCGTGCCGGGGCGCAGCCTCGCCACAGGCAGACTCTCTTTGATGCTGAGAACCCACATCAGCCGAGCTCGCGACGACTTGTCAAGGGCATCTACACAAGTGAATGTAATGCGGACGCCGCGCTCTAGCTCATGGCTTGTCTGCTCGGGCTCTGCGTCTGTGATTAAAAATTCTGCGCACTGCAGCCGCAAGCCGCCAGTAGTCTGGGCTTGGCCAGCATCATCAAGAGCGACGTCGCTCAGCTGTAGATGTGGACAGCCAGGCAAGAAGTTGTCGGCTCCGATGCAAACCAAAGGCTTCGGCGAGCCCGCGAAGCTCAAAGGCTGCTCTTGCACGTGCGCAACTTGCAGATAGTTGCGCGCCGGGCGGCGCGTGTCTGCGTTGCCGGAGTACGCCTCTTCGTATGCGACTGTGAAGCGCAAGCGCCACTTGCGCTGTCGCACTTCTCGCATCGCTGCTTCCACGCTTTGAACGGGAGCGCCCGGCTGAACCGCCAAGGCAGCTCCCAAGAGATCGTCCGCGCAGCGAGTGAATATCTTCATGTCTACCGCCGCCGTGTGATCCCACACAGCCAGCTCTAAGCTGTAACAGGCTCGCTGAGAATCTTGCGCGTGCTGGTCCACGAATGGCCAAATTGGGCCGAGTCTTTGGGGCCGGGGTAAGGGGCGGGGAATCGGATGAAGGAGGGTTTTGTGAATCGTCAGCCATGGCTCTCTGGTGGAGATTGCGCAAAGCGGTGGAAAACCCATCGGTTGAGGAAGAAGCAGAGGAGTTTTGGGATGTGCAGACAGGGGAGTCCGTGGTCGTTTTGACTCGCGTCCACATGTTGGCCCGGCACCGAGACTATCAGCCTCAAGCACTGGACTTGCCGCCGGGTGTTTCTCTGGCAAGGTTTGTACAGAGACGGCAGACAAGCGTGGTGTACAAGGACGTAAACATGGGAAGGAGGCTCATCAATGATCGGTGGGCTGAGGATGACTTCAGATTTCAAGGAGCATGGAGAGGGGCAACCACGTTCTGGATGCCACTGCGGCGGCAAACGGCCGAGGTGAGGGCATGGGAGCATCAAAGGCAGGTTCGGCCCCCGTCTACAAGCTCTGCGATTTCTGGAATTATGTGTTCTGCCCTCCTGCGATCGACAACCGACGCTTCTTGGGGGTGCGGATGGAGACTCGCCTGGGGATGGATGGAATCCATCCATGGATGATGAGCAAGAAGACCACTGACTGGGAGGTGGAATTCTGGGAAGAAGGTTTGGTGGTGGCCACGAGAGTACACGAGGTGGAGAGGATCCGATCCTACCAACCTGAGCGTCGGGATCTACCGGCTGGCCTGTTCCTGGATTACTTTGAGGATAGGAGAGAATCGTTGTTCATCAATCCGGTGGCGCGGGATGTGGACCCACGTCATCGAGGACAACTGGAGGCGCGACGTCTGGCTTAGAGAAGGCTGGATTGGGAGTTCGCGTTTTGGGTGAGACCTCGGAGGCGGATTGTGGTGCTTCAGTCTGGCCGATGCATGAAGATGGAGCCGGAGAGTCCGGTACCTCTGGGCCCTCGGCGTCAACGGCGACTGCTGCCTTGGCTGGATCAACGATCAGGACTGCAGCTTGAGGAGATCAGAAGAGGCCGAGGAACACCAAGAAGACATGGAGATCCAGCGGTGGCGTGGCTGGAAAGGTCATCGCAGCTTGCCTTCACGGAACAATCGTGTTGGTGGTGTTCTTCGGCATGATCAACGGAGCGGGAGCTCAAGAACTGGACATGCTGGAGGAGGACCAGTTGCTGCATTTTTGGCGATTGGACTTTGGGAACTTCTGACTGAGGCGCTGTTTCTATGGCAGAAAAGTGTCTCAGATGGAAGTTGAGGGAAAAATCAAGACCAAGACCCTAAGGAGGAAAAGGGCTCGGCTCCAATCAAGAGACGTTCCCGAAAAGGGCTGAGGGCAGCTTGCAAGACGGGGTTTTCTGGGGAAAGCGGCTCCACAACCGCACAGACCTTGGACAGACGGGACACTCAGCCTGAACCAGGCGTCTCACCAATACCCTAAAGAGGCTCCATGGTAGGGAAGTAGCCTGTAGGGACCATCGGAGCCAATGGACGTTTGCAGGATGTCATGGTGCTGGTGGGTGTTCTTGACGACCCTGCTCGGAGGAGGTATTTCAAGAACATGGCGGAGCAGTCTTGGAGGAGGCACTGCTTCTTGGAACGGAGAGAGGAGATGGAACAAGGACGTGGATTCAAGGGGCCTGGAGAATTCAGGCTTCCTCCCTTAGAACCCATCCCACCTATGCCGCTGGCTATGTGGCCTCATGGAGATGTTGCGGAACCTGGCAACAGCTCTAGCTTGGGAAGTCAAGACGGAGGACGCAGTGCGAAGGGCGAGTGCGGCGGGACCGGTTCACCTGGCCAGCACTAACCAGGACCAGGCTGGGAACACCATCCTGGAGATCAGCAAGCACAAGGGCAAGACCTACGTTCAGATCGCCTGCGAACATCCTGATCTTGGTAAATACCGCGAGGTTCCAACAAGTGGACCCTCGGTTAGCTCGTTTTGCAGAGTGGGCAACTAGCTCACTTTAGAAATGCTGCAAATTGCAGCAGGGGGAGTGTGGATGGAAGCACACTCGACCCGAAACATGTTTGGCTCAAGAAAAAGTGTGCGGCACTGAGCTGTGCACTTGAAACCCCCTTTTTTTGTTTTGGTGTTTCGTAAGAACAATGGGCTGGTTTAAAAAGGAAATAGGACATAATATATATATATATAATAAAAAACGGCTGATAAAATAATGAAAAGAATTGAAGAATATTTTTTTGAGAGACTAGATTCAGACTAATAGTATAATTATAACACATGTTTTTACAAGTTATAATTATACTGTAATTTTCCCGTATAAGCCACGGTAGTGCCTAGTATGGCCTTTCTCCCGATCCGCATTTTGCCATCCATATTTTACTGGGATTGTTGACATGATTTGAGTTAGCCCTTAGAATATTCCTTTTTCCATTGGTTAACCACTTTTTCGGGCGAACATAGGGTTGGTTTTTAGACTGTTCGTATTTGTTGGAAATGGGTAAGGGTGTCAAGTTAGATCAAGGGAGAAATTGTTGAGATTTTGGGGCTGTGATCTTGGGAGTGGAAAAATGTTGGTATGTAGCTTGGATTTTTTGGATGGGGTTTGTTGAGGTGGTATGTAGTTCTGATTATTGTTATTGAATGAGCTAATGTGTTGATGTTGAGAGTGAGAAGATGAGTGAGAAATGAAGACGGGTGTATGAATGTGCGATTCTTGGTGTTGAAGTTGGTGCGTGTGATGTTCTGGAGGTGTGAAAAGGGTTGATTTAGTGTGTGTATTTGAATTGGGGCTAAAAGTGTAGGGGGGTATAGGGGGCGGAGGGCAATATGCGGACGGGAGAGGCCTTGTCTAACTTTGCCATGTCCGTCTCCAGGGAGATCCCTTTTTGGAAAGGAGTCAAACCAAGAGCAAGCCGACCACTTCTCCCATCGGTTCTCATGGAGAATCCGAGAAACCGGATTTCTTCGCGGTCCAAAGTCCGAGGCGAGATCCTGGAGCAGGGCAGACACGCGGAGCTCCTGGAGCTGGACGGCAGCTACCGCCGGCCGCAGCCCTCAAGCGCGCGGTTGGAAGTTCGCACCAAGCGATGTGACCCACGGGTTTTGACAGGACCACTGGCAAAAGGCCAAACAAAAACACAGCGGTTCTTTTTGGCATAGTGGCGGTTGCTCATTGCGGATGTGTCGGACAGGTTTCCACCCACACTCCGCCGGCACTTTTTGGGTGTAAGTGTTGACTGGCCATGTATGCATCAAGGCTCCAACCCGAGTGGTTTTGTTCAGAACCGAATTGATTAGGGCTTCACAGTTTCACCTGGCTCCTCCAAGCTCCCGAGGCTCATGGAGGACCAGCGTTTGCCCACAGAGCACACACCCCGCATTTGAAGCGAGCGGAAAAAGGTGACGCGACAGGACCTAGATGGAGGTTTGCTCTGGAGAATGGAGCAGATATCGAACCTTTATGATTTATGATACACACAGAGGAACAAAGCTAGATGGGAGTTGATCACCGGGGCATGTTTTTGTTCCGCTTTACAACAACTCAACATCGTACCACTGCTTGCCGGCACATCGGCCATTGATCCGAATGAATTTCAGATTGACAGGCGATTTCTGCCCCTGTGGCGTACTTCCAAGATGGCATGACACGCCGGGCTCAGCGCGCGTCTCCTGTTTGGCTCAACAGCAAGCTTCTTCAAGAGTGACGCGTGTGGCAGCTAGGTTTCTTTGGCGCACACGCTCTGCAGCACAAGCTTTTCAGCGCTTCGGTCTGAGGTGGAAACGCTCCATTCTACACGCACTAGGGAAAAGTTTGGCATGCAGCCTTGACGTCACGGCAAGATACCCCCCATTTCATCTGGGAATATCTTGGTGGTGGAGGTCACAATTCAAGCGATTTGCCCTGGAAGCGCCTTGCCCGGCCATTTGCGAAGGCGTTGGGGGTGTCAAGTTCGGCTGGAGCCTTTGAAAGGGTTTCATGGTTTGACGCTGCTTCCCCTTTCTCCGTATTTTTGAAATGCCCACGGTTTCTCCCCATGTTTTCGTCAAACCCATGCTTTTCCATGGTTTGTCCCTTTTCCACAGTTTCGTCATGCTTGAGGTTCCTGTAACACATACCCAACTTCCCCTCTTCTTTTGCCCACCAGCGAGGCGCTTGCTCGCATCTGGCGTGGGCGGCATGGGGACCAGCCTCATCCGCGCCTGCTGCGAGACCCTGTCCCACGTCGGAGTCCCAAGCAAAGGGCAAACAGCCAGAGCCACAATCAAAACCCGGGTAGGCCCTCAGTTACTTGCATGGTTTTGGGTAGACGGTTCGAATACTCGTTCGATTGTGGCTCAGGGTGCCTTGGGTTGGTCAAATAAGCGCTGCCACCCTGTGCCAGGGAAAAGCACCATGTGGATCTGCACCAAACAAGTTATTTTTCTTAATCTCACTCCCGAGACAGTAGCCAGACAGAAAATCGCGCTTGCCGCTCTGGGTAGACCTATCGATTTGCATTTCGCCACACTTCCGCGGAGCCGCAGTCCGCTGAGCAAGGTTTTAGATCCTTCGGTGCTTTTGCCACACTTGAGTCACAATCAAAGCTGATTCGGGTAGATGAAGGTTACGGGGGACAGTCCCAAGCAGGTGTGGAAAGGTCCCCCTTTCAGACGAGCCCAGCGCAAAAGGCCTCGATGAGCACTGGTTCCCGCCGCCTGGAGGAGCCTGTGAGACTTGGTTGAGTTTTTTCAGGGTCTGTTTGGGGTTTACAGGACGCCGAAAGGAAAGCCATCATCTTTTTGGGGTCCGAATTTGAAGCATCCGCCATGTGCTTCAAGTCACGCGTGCATGTCGACCGGATCGATCGCTCGCAGGATCTCACGGTGGAGGTGGATGAGGCGAGAAAGGCCCGGGCCCCGGCGAAGGGTTTCTTTCTGGTGCCTTTCTGGGCCCATGTCGCAGTGCGCGCGAGGAGAATCAGCGGCTGAACCGCCAAGTCCAGACGATGCGCCGAGCGTTGAAGGCGAAAATTTTGAGACTGGCTCGATGGGTCGATTCAGCGGTTTCCATATGCCGCCTGCCAGGAAGGTGTGCCGGATGCCGTTGCCTCCAGCTACCGGGCCTCCCAGGCGCCCAAAAAAAGGTTGGAAGGTTGGAAGTGAGGCTGGCTGTGTCTACGGTTTGCTTCTTTCTGCAAAAAAGGGGTCCAATCCCAATCGAATCTAAGATGGTTTTGCAGTTTCGTGTTGGTTTGTCGAGCAGCCCAAGTTTTGCAAGGGGAAGCCACAAGGAGACCAAGCACTTGGGTGTCTTTGAACTGATTTGGCAGTGGGTCAAAAACATGTACCAAAATGGCACCTTGGTAAATGGAAGCAAAGAATACAACCTGCGTAACCCCAGCTGTTTGCTTTTGAGCCACACCCATTTGTGGGACCCGCGTTCGAAAGGGCTTGAGTCCCGCATATTTCATGGTTGTGCTAGTTTGAACTTGATCTCTACGATTTGGACTTGGACAGGATCGCACTGTGACCCATCGCAGAAATGAGTGGTTTCTCTTTGGGCTTCTCCTTCAAATCACCTTCCACCAACACGGAGTCCTTTCAAGCAATTGGTGGGTACCGCTTGGCAGTTGGCTTTCCAATCTCCACCAGGCAATGCTACGGCCATGTGCCATCTCGGCAGTTTGCATTTTGCGCCATCTGCAAAGAGCCCATGGCTTCAAGATGCAAGTGAAAACATCCCAGCCCCAATCCTGTCCGTCTCTTCCAGAGATGCGTGAAAGGTACTCCAAGGGAGAAACCGCCTGAGACAACTCCTGTGTCACCTTTCCAATTTGTCCCCCCAAGTCAGCTGGCAAAGCCGCAATTCTGGCTGCCCTTGCACATCCTAGTCTTTCATAGTCATTCAGTGGACTGAGTTCGAGCGGTGCTCTAGAACGACGCCGCTAAATTTCCTTTTCCGAGCTTTTGGAATTCTCGCTGTTTCTCACCTACCCCGGGAGCAATTACTTACTTGCCCCCGGATTGATTCATTTGTCGGAGAATTGGGACACTGTCCCGAAATCGTGAACCCTCGAAATTGTGGCACACACCCGCTGAAACGATGATTTCCTTTTGTTTCCCTTTACACCAAGGGTACCTGGACAAAGACATACACCCAAATTCGAGCACTTCGAGCTGTCCAGGGCCCGCTCAATGCAGATGCCCGGCAGCTCGAGCAAATGCTGTCCCAGCTGCAGGCGCGACCGCATGTCCTTCTCCCAACGAGAAGTTTGGTCGCAATCTTCAAATTTGTCAAATGGTCCACTTGGGACATCGAGGACACAACTTTTTCCTCAAAAGCCAGCGGACTCGCTCGTTTTCCCATGTCCAAAAACAGCAGGCCACACGGCAACACCACACACGAGTGCGGTTGTATTGCTTCGAGACTCCTGACCCTCCCTTTCAAAGCCAAAAGGAGTACGTCACGAGCATTTTTTAGGTAGGGAGTATCATCAATTCCGGTTGGCACAAATCTCCATGCCTTTCAGATGTCTCCGAAAGGGTCATTTCTTTTTGGGGCTCCCACCATCTCTCGCCCTGCTCAGCAAGAGAATGCCCAGCTCCGAGCGGGGCCGCGACACTTGGCGCGGGCCATAGCAAAGGGAGGTGCAAGAGGAGTTTAGATATGGGTTTCTTCGTTCGGCTTTTGCGATGAGATCTGGCCTTCACAAACTTAGTTTTTCATGAGCTCAGCGGTGAAAACCTCCTCCCCATTCTGAGCTTGGGTGTGACCTAGGCAAGGGGGCGTCCTAGCTGGGACCTGAGAGGTAAGGGTTTGTTGTGCAGCACTTGAGGGGTGTCACGTCTTCAGCTTAGAATCCTCAAAAACCTGTACTTTGCTCGGCCGCGAAATCGGCGAGCTCGCAGAGCGTCCTCAGTGGCAAACTGCCTCGAGGTTCTGGAGGTTCTGGAGTTAGCCTTTCCAAGTACCAGGCTCTGCAGCAGCAGGCGGGGAGGCGATGCTTCGGAAAGTAATCAGTCTAAAAGGAGATTTGGAGTTTTGGCCATGTCCACTTCTCACTTTTTCTTCGCGCATATGAGTCTGAGGTGCACGACCTGCAGAGAGTGGCTCAGGCAGGGCAAGTCTGGAAGCTGTGTGAGAGCCCTCGCAAGCTGTGACAAAATCTGTTTGGGCGGAGTTCGAAGGTCGTTTTTGGCGTTAACTTGGAGCTGTTGTGCCTGTCCAGATGCCAGCTGCAGCTGTGCCGGGGCCGGATCCCTGTGACGCTGAAGCTAGAATTGCGTTTTTCTTCCTCTGCTTGGACGCCTTTGATTGAGAGAGCTTGGACTCAGGTCTTCCTACAGTTACAGAGGGTGCCGCCAGCTCGAGCACCCAGCTTTCCGAGAGAGCGCACGAAAAGTGTGCGTGCCAGGAGCCGCCATGCATCGGGGCGCGAGACGCCCATGCCGGGCACCCGAGCATCCGAGCATCCGAGCATCCGGGTCCCACGGAGTCGCTTTCGGTCGCCATCAATGAGGTCTGGGCTGTCGAGCCCGCGCACGGCGTTGAGGAGTGGCCCCTCGGACGCGGGCTCCGCGCGGCGCCCGGAGCACGGAGTGGCAGCGTTGGCCCGGGCCGTGTCTGGAGGTCGACGACTTCAGAAGACGGCTCCTGGTCCGGCTCTCTTTGTGTCCATGTTGCGCCGGGCTGTGCGTGGGGTTTGTCCCGCGAGCTTCCTTGCCTCCGCGATTTTGGACGTTTGGCCAAGGCAATGCAGCAAGAGAACGACATGCTGCGGAAGAAGGCGGCAGCTTTCGAACAGATGCAGCTTGTCGATCCTATTCCCCATACAGCGAATCGAGAAAAAGCTCGAGTTCATCCCTGAAATTCAAAATGGTCGGACATAACCCCCATGTAAATGATGTCCACCACAGTGTCTGAAAGTCCGGACCTTGATCGCCGAATAGCCGTTTTCCCTCAGAGATGTTCAGCTTGCCTTACGCGGGATCGGAATTGAGCCAAATCAGTGCCACACCTGGCAGCATTTCATTTACATCTACGGTACTTGGGTGGAGACAACAATGGGAGACGAGAGCTTAGTTGCAACCACAAAAGGACCCAGGGACGGAGCCTCCCATCCTCCCACACCCATTTTGGGTAACTTCGCACGCTACACTTGGGCTTGTCTTACAACTTTCACTCCGAAGCATCTCGCCCATGGGGGCATCGTCGAGTTCGGACGTGGACGAAGCGCGTAACTCAGGAGTGCAAAGGCAACGCGGGGCTGTGTCGCTTTGAACAGCTTCGCACCTCGACACCTCATAAGGCGCGCTGTCATTTCTGCGGGGTGCTGCTCAGCTCAGCTGACAGCCATGAGGACTGAGGCTTCAGGATCCGTTGGGAATGTTTCCGTGGGAGCAAACCATGACTCAGAACAAAGCACAACCGTTATTGCTGCCAGTTTGGTGCGTTGGGGCAGCCGTGTCTCGAGGATGTGTCTCGCCTGTGCGTGCGTTGTTCAATAGCTCCCTTGAGTTGT